ATAATAAATAATTATTGGTTTCCACTATATAGTAATTCACATAGTAATCTTTTTGACCTTTTAAATTCTTTTAAAAGACTATAATATACAGTTTCTAATTATAAATTTACAACAGGTAATTGGAATATTCACACGTTTTCACCTGAGATTTTTAACAGAAGATTAATCTGTTTAACTAATTCTCACATCTTTTAATGGAAATAAAACAGCAATAAAATTTGTTAAACATCATTTTTGTTTTGGGAAACGAGAATAGGTATTGTTTAATTCAGGAAATCTTGTTTAAAATTAAATTTATAATTATATGTTGGTATCCCAATATATTCAGAAACCATTGAAACGTAAATATATATAAAAATTTTCATTTTCAATTTTTTTGTGATTACCATAACTTACTCTACGGGAAATTAATAATAAAATACACATAATACAATACATCTATATACACTTACCATAAATTAGTAATTTTTTGAATTCTCTAGAAATTGCTTACAAATACCTTATATGGTAAAACAACGTTTGCCGGGTCAGCTAGTATAATATATAATTAATAATATATTTTGTAACAAACCTATATTTATTATTCGCGCTTTGTTTATAAAAAATAGCAGTAGAACCCTGTTAAGGCGATCATGTTTAATTTAAGATTTTGAAACATATAGTCTATATCCCGTATAATACGTTTCGCTATTAAGACGCGCTTTTGGTCTGCAATAACTAATCATTTACAAGTGATATTTCCTATATCATGTTACAATTTCTTTTAATTAAATCGTGCCACAATTTTTTTCCCACAAATAAAACACTTTCTAGGATATTAAAACGCATAAACGCAGGAAAGGCAATTTCTTTCCAATATGAATCTATCATCATCATAAAAACAAATTGTTTTGATCAATTTGTACGATTTGACGACTTTAATTTAATAAAAGTAATAAAAATGATGGAATTGAATCCAAATGTAACCCATACACGTTTTAATTAAGATGGTAATGAAAACTTGGTAATAGATGAGATAGATGTATGTGGCATTTTGCCTAAAGGTAAGTTGCAAATAATTGACCTCAATAGGAATTTGAATAATGACCAGCGATTTGTAATTTAAGCCTCAAAAGTTGATCCATTTTATGGGACTTGATGAAAACTCGTATACATTAGTTTTGCGGCACAATCGGCAAGCCCTTTCTTTACAATTAGCAGAAAAGTGCAAAATTTGTGCATTTTTTGCAACTTTAATTAATTAACTTCCCGTAGGGTAAAAGTTATAGTAATTGCAAGAAAATTGAAAATGAAAATTTGTATATATTTTTACGTTTCAAAGGTTTCAGAACATTTTGGCATACCCAAAAAACATTCGATTCGTATTGATAAGGAGACATGCTGATTAGTTTTTGGTGAAGGCAGGTCTAACCATTCCGAAGATACGTAGCAAAAAGTGCCAAAAACGGTAATTCGGTTTTTAAGAGAACGGAGCGTCCGATTCTAATAATTCAAAAAAACATTTTATTTATATTGACGAAATGAACTGGTAAAATTTTTGGGAAGGCAGGTCCAGCGGTTATGGATTCTCAATAAAAATAATTTTAAAAAATGTCACTTGGCGGTCAAAAATGTTTAATGGACATATGTACATCAGGTTATCAGATATTTTATAGAGATTTTAATATTGTGTACGCATTTCGTGTCATTTTTTTGGGTTCCGTACCAAGATTTTTAATTTTGAAGTTTTTTTATATGGTTGAAACAAATGTCCTTGACATTTTCGACAGTATGGAATGACCGATTTGTATTATTGAACCGAATTTTATTTAGTTCGATCGCAAGGCGTTTTTGCAAAAGGCACATCTTGCCGTTCCGGAGGTATGGAGCGCAAAGGGTGTAAAAATGGTTATGCAGTTTTTGAGAGAACGGATCTTCCGATTAGAATAATTCAAAAAACCTTTTGCTTGTGTAGACGGCGTGCAAAATATGGTTTCACAAATAATCTCGTAGTTTTGAAAATTATCAAAAAGAAATTCAAACTTTTCAAAAAAAATTAAAAGTTTCAAAATCTCATTTCGTAATACTTCCAAAATTATGAAAACTAAAAAAACGATTTCTTACAAAAATTTTCAAAAAACTCGGATATTTTCAAAATTTTTCAAATTCTCATAAAATTTTAAAAAATCGATTTTTTTTAAAAATTCCAAAATATTTCGAACTTTTAAAAAATTTTCAAATTTTGAAAAAAATTGAACAAGTTTCTTGTAAATATACACATAAGTTATTTGTAGAATACGCTCGTCGCCCAATATAATAAGCACTTATAAATTTACAGTATGTATTTATAATAAATTATCTATTTGAAATTATTTAAAACAATTATTGAATATTTTCATTCCTCGAATTTTTAATTATGGTTCGGAAAGGTCCAGCAATTTGCCTTAAGGCACGATGCCATGCATCCCACTAGTTTTTATAATTAAACCACTTCTAATAGGCCTATAATATTTTACGGGGTTTGCTTTGACAACCAACTCTACTACCATGCAAAGTTTCATCAAAATCCTAGAAGAGAAAACCTGAGGGTTTACTCTTAAGTTTCAAAATTCAAAATTTAAATCTTTAAAAAAATATGTAGTTCTACTGCCAAATTGGGTTATCTGACTCTGATTTCTCGATGGTCCTTAATTGGTACTTGAAATAAATTGGATATAGTTCCTAGAGCCCTATTAGTTGAATCTTTGTATTTCTAAATTTGCAATATAATAGGTGCCTTATATGATGTCCTACTTAATAATTACACATAACTTTTACTGTAGCACAGTAAATCGTCGAATCTAGTTCATTCAGGTCGTGTAAGTCTCAGTTTTTGTCCCAAATGCCACATAACACTTTGGAATCATAATAATTAGCCAAAAATATTTCACGGCTTCATGGACATGTCTTAGATTCACAATCGGATATATTTGACAGTAATTTTACGCTGGTTTAATTTCGGTTTCAATAGAACTTATTTGAAATTTATAAAAGATACACGAGACCAGGTACTCATCAGCTTAAAAAGCAATTAATCGTTATAGAATTGGTGCACTAAGTGTTTCTAAAGAACCATTTCTTTTAGATGTAAAATTACTTGTCAACTTTTTGGTGAAAATCCTTGACCCAATTTTGAACATTCTAAATTTGTTCGAAAGATATCAGTTAGGAATCCTAGTGTCAGTATTTGGTAAATATTTGCTAGACCGTTTCTTCGTTGAAATATTTTGGCTATTTTGATGAAACCTTTTATGAGTTCTTACAATTAGTCTGAGAAATGTTGTAAAATTCTCGAAGATTTTCACTCTCAACTATTTATTACTCAATGTGGTCAAACAGATCCTACAGTAATAATATCAATTAAACTTTTTAAAACATTTTTTTTTATTTTTTTATACAAAAAAAGCCCTGAAAGAAATTTAATATCTTAATAATGTGCGGTGTGCAGAAGTCAGTCGTGCGCTAAACACTTTCAAATTCTACTGAATCTGAATCAAGATCAAGATAATGATTTCCTTTCTTTTATTTCTTGGCTTATCTTGGCGATCTTTGATCTTAATTCGGACTATAATAACAACTGCTCCTAATTCTGTCGATTTTGTAGATCACCCACATTGCGATGTGTAATTGTGCTAGGTAATGATATTTTGGGAAAAATAAATAAATGATATAGGTGTAAGTGACATTTTGCATTGAGCTAACTATCTGATGAGTACGAATAGAAATTTAGCAACTTTTAGAATTTTTGCTGATGGAAGTTTGGAAGTTTGCAAACCAATATAAACTTTTTGCAAAAGTTACAAAATAAAATTATTAAAAAAATACTAGATGTATGTACCAATTGGCTGAGGACTCCAAATATGTTCACGGTAGCAGAAGAATTCAGAAGGCATGCATCCTAAGTACAAAATCAGACTAGAAGATGAATCGAACCAATTTGCCAAATCTTCAAAAGACTCAAAAGAACACTTTAGATTTAGTAAATAATATATAATGTAAAGTTATTATTACTGTTCTGTAATTTTATATCATCCATTTCCAAAGCTAAAATGACCATCACTGGGTAGCATTTTAAAATTTTATATTTACACATTCGTCACCAAATTACTAAAAACCTTACCAGGCAGACTGTAATTATGTGTAAATAACTAGTGGTGTAGGCATCGTACCTTGAGGCAAATTGCAGGAACTTCCCGTACCTTAATAAAATATTTGAGGAATATTGCATTGAATTATTAAAATCGGACGCTCCGTTCTCTCAAAAACTCGATTATAGTTTCCTGCACTCTTTGCTTCGCATCTCCAAAACGACTGGACCTGTCTTTGCCAGAAACTATTCAGCACGTCGCCTTATCAATAGGAATCGATTGGTTTTTAGTAAAATGTTTCTTGAATCATTCAAAACGGGGACTCCGTTCTCTCAAAAACTCAATTTCTAATTTCTGCACTCTTTGCTCCGTATTTTCGAAACTGCTAGGCTTGCCTTTGACGAAAAGTAAGCAGCACGTCTCTTTATCAATACGAATCGAATGTTTTTTGAATGATTGAAATCGGTTGAACCGTGTTCCCGACGAAAATTTGTATCCGCGCGCGCACACACACACATTTACACACACACATACACACCCACATACATCTATTTTTTTCTAATATAAGGTATATAAAAATATTCATTTTCGATTTTTTGCAATTACTCTAACTTACCCTACGAGAAGTTAATTTAAATTAAATAAAGTATAAAAATATAAAGCAATTCATATTACTTCTTCAACTCTTTTCATATTACTATGACTAGCGTGAACTTGAACCAAATCCGCACCCAATATCACCACCTTTCTAGCCCAGAAACCAACTTCACGCCGCTCTACTTTACCCTCTCGGTAATACAATACTATGCGCTCTGGCCGTGACCTTGCACGAACGTCAGTTGCAAGAAACGTCAAACAAACAGACGCCATTACTCCCTCTCAAAGCTACATCAGGTGGACGTCATCAAATTTCCAAATAAGGAAATCTTATCTGTCGGTTTCCGTAAATTGTCAATGGTCGAGTGATTTTCTATTACAAATTCAGTTTTAATTATATCCAGATATATGCATTGCCAAAAATATTAATTAGAACTTGTTTCATTAGTGGATACTTGTAGTTATGTGTTAGGAAGATTGTATTTGAAGCCCAGTATTAAATAGTATTACAATGTCTTATTCTAACAGTAAGTTGGTCATGCATGTTATTTTTGCAATTTTGTATGAAAGTACATGGAAATAGTACATTAGAATATGTTGATAAAGCTATATAAACTATATACTTCTTATAGTTAAACAATTGTGCACACATTTATTTTAATATTTCTGTTATGACTAATACTGTTCAGATTAGATTAAAGATATGGTGTCAAATATGACTCTTGCTTATGCATCTTTTTTACCTAATTTTTACTCAATGCAAATGATGAATTTTATGGCAATAGCAAAGCTTAAACATTAAATATTATATGTATTAAATTTCTTATATTTTTTGCAGAATATATTTATGCAACACTGCCAAGAACTCAGAGAGGTCAACCACTTGTTTTGGGTGGAGACCCGAAAGGCAAAAACTTTTTGTACACTAATGGAAATTCAGTAATTATTAGAAATATCGAGGTATGTTATTTTATTTATATAATATTATGTACATTTAATTACCCACTGGACAATAATGTTGCAACTTTTGTGTTACACACAAACTTCTATCAAATTTTGAATATACAAGAATTACAAAACAATATTGTATTTGTGGAAAAAAATGGACACATATCTTGTGACATCCAAACAAATATTTTGAATAAAAGTACAAAAATCCAGGCACACTTACAGAGTTATTCTCTAAAATATGATAAACACGTACAATTTATAATATTTTATATATACAATGTCACAAAACAATAATGTATTTATGAAAAATAAGTTTACAACCAGGCTTTTTTGTAACATCAGAACATGTGTTTTGGATAAGAAAAAGCAACCACACTTACGGAGTTGTTCTTTAAAATTTAAAATTTTGGTAGGTCCATTTTATCGCCTCCAAACTTTTTCAATAGGAATTCAGATGAAAGTCTAAAACTTGCAGTCACTATTTTGAGATACATAGGTAGATAAATTCTGTACTACAGTTCTTACTTTTTATTTAATTTCAAGGCAACGGCACAAGTATTACTATATAGGATGTATTTCTTGGTCAAAATCCAATTGGAATACTGTAAAAGATGTTTGGATTTGACAGTTATGTCTTTTCTTCGAATCAAACAAACATAAAAACCACTCAGATGATGTTTTTGTTCCATCTATATCATTATTATATAAAAAATACCATAGCAAAGGTTCTTTCATCCCCCAACTGAATAAGAGACTCATACATGGAGTTTGATTCATTTCTTATAGGATTTCCAAAATATCCAAATAGCACTATTCAATTAGTGTTGTAAAATTCAACACTGTGATGTTGATCTTCCAAGTAATCCAAATAACTTTATGGCATATTTTTTTTATCTATCTATATAAGTAAAATATTATTTAGCAAACCCATTGGTTACATTGTCGACAAAATGTTGCTATTCAAACAAAACATAAGAAAGTTGGATGTGATGGAAACAAACTAATTAATTTTTTTTAATTAGGGTACATCAACATAAAAAAATCTAAGTTTATGTGACAAAAATCACAATTTATTGACAAGTTTATAATTATCTTTATAATTATATCAAGTATATAATTTTCTTTATTTACACAATTTATTTTTAATTATAACTTTATATATGTATATATATATATATATATATATATATATATATATATATATAAATTTGGTAGTAAATATAACAGGATTTATTTTTCTTATTAGAATCCAGCTATTGCCGATGTCTACACTGAGCATTCATGTGCTGTCAATGTTGCTAAATATTCTCCTAGTGGATTCTACATTGCTTCAGGAGGTAAATATGATATTTACTTAAAAAAAAAACAGAAGTAATTTATAATTTTCTAATACATAAGTGGAATTAAAAAAGTGGAGACTTCAGTTTTATTTGTAAAGTAAAAATGAAAACAGGGAAGAGTAGAAATTGATTTTTATAGAAACTCACGCTGTTTTTACTTTTATTGCTTACAAATTATAATTTTACAATGGAAGGGATTATTATTACTAAAGTAACATTCGAAATGTTTGAGTTCTAGTTTTATGTCCTGCAAAAACACTTATGGTAGTTTTTAGTTAATTTTACAAATTTTCCATACAGTTTGCAACATTTTCAGTCAATTTATTTTCGGAATTAATTTTTTTGTTGTAATTTATTTTTATTAATCAAGACTTTAATGTCTTATTTACAAAATTGACAGGTACAAAAAAAAAATGATACAAAAAATACTATAAAATTGAATATAATTTGAAACAAAGTTAAAATAAAATAAAATAATAACAGTAAAGCAAAAATAATAATATAAATAAAACATTTTTGAAATGTTTAGAACGTTTTCAAACAGTTTTTAAACATTTTCAGACAATTTATATTTTCAATCAATTTATAACATTTTCACTAAATTCATAACATTTTTAGTAAATTTATAACATTTTCAATAAACTTTTAACATTTTCAATAAACTTATGACATTTTCAATAAATTTATTAATTTTTAATAAATTTATAACATTTTCATACAATTTATAACATTTTCAGACAATTTATAAAATTTTCAATAAATACTTAACTTTTTCAGACAATTTATAATATTTTCAATCAATTCATAACATTATAAATCAATTTATAACATTTTCAATCAATTTAGTTTGAAACATTTTCAATACATTTATAACATTTTCAGACAATTTATAACATTTTCAATCATTTTATAACATTTTCAATCATCTTATAACCTTTTCAATCAATTTATAACATTTTCAATCAATTCATAACATTTTCAATCAATTCATAACATTTTTATTCAATTTATAACATTTTCAATAAATATAGTTTGAAACATTTTCAAACGGCTTCAAAGAGACTCAGACGGTTAAAAGCATTTTTAATCAATTCAAAACATTTTCAATCAATTTATAATATTCACAATCAATTCTTGACTTTTTCAGACAATTTATAAAGTTTTCAATCAATCTATAAAATTTTCAAAAAATATATAATATTTTCAAACAGTTTTGAAACATTTTCAGACAGTTTACAACATTCAAATATTTTAGAACATTCTCAGACAATTTATAACATTCTTAGATGATTTATACCAATTTCAGTCAAATATTGTTATCAGACAGATAATTCATAACTTTTTCAGACTACTTATAACACTTTTACAACATTTTTAGACGTTAATTCTTCATATTCTTAGACAATTTCATAATATATAGATAATTCATAACATTTTCAGAATATTCATAACATTTTCAAACTATTTATAACATTTTAAGACAATGTATAACATTTTTAGACGTGATATTCTTCATATTTGTAGACAATTTTTAAAGTTTTCAATGAATCTATAAAATTTTCAAAAAATTTATAACATTTTCAAACAGTTTTGGAACATTTTCAGAGAGTTTTGAAACTTATGCAGGTATTTTAGGACATTCTCAGACAATGTATATCATTTTTAGACAATCCATAATATTCTTAAGACAATCTATAACATTTTCAGGAAAATTATAACATTTTCAGACAATTTATAAGATTTTCAATAAATTTATAACATTTTCAGATAATTTACAATATTTTCAAACAATCTATTCAGACTGTAAACTGTCTCACTTTATATTTTTCTATTTCATTTCAATTAATTTGTTATTTCAGATATATCAGGCAAAGTACGTATTTGGGATACTGTTAATAAAGAACATATTTTGAAAAATGAATTCCATCCCATTGGTGGCCCTATTAAAGACATTGCTTGGTCACCAGACAGCCAAAGGATGGTTGTTGTAGGAGAAGGTAATAAATTGAAACTTTAAATATTTATTTTGTATTATATTTACTTCATACTTTACATATCAGGTCGTGAAAGATTTGGTCATGTTTTCATGGCTGAAACCGGTACATCGGTGGGAGAAATTAGTGGTCAGTCCAAACCAATCAATTCATGTGATTTCCGTCCAGCTAGACCTTTTAGAATTATCACCGGCAGTGAAGATAATACCATTGCTGTATTCGAGGGACCACCATTTAAGTTCAAGAAGACTAAACAGGTATTATTGTCTAAGAATGTTATATTTCTAATCTGATTTGAATCTTATACGTTTCTAATAAGAGTCCTTTATCTTTTAGGAGCATGGCAGATTCGTCCAGGCTGTGAAATATTCCCCCAATGGAAGTCACTTTGCCTCAGCTGGTTTTGATGGTAAAGTCTTCCTTTACGATGGGGCTACTGCTGATCTCATTTCTGAAGTAGGAAGCCCTGCACACAAAGGCGGTGTTTATGGGGTTGCTTGGAAACCTGATGGAAAACAACTGTTGACTTGTTCAGGAGATAAAACTTGCAAACTTTGGGATGTTGAAACAAAAACTATGATAAGCGAGTTTGTCATGGGAAACACAGTTGATGACCAGCAAGTTTCTTGCTTATGGCAAGGAGATTATTTGCTATCAGTTTCCTTGAGTGGTTTTATTAATTATCTTAATGTTAATGATCCATCCAAGCCTTTGAGAATTGTTAAAGGACATAATAAACCTATAACCGTTCTGGCTTTGAGTGAAGATCGAAGTTTCATCTACACAGGCAGTCATGATGGTTTCATAACAAACTGGCAAGCTGGTAGCGGTGAAAATGATAGAGTTGAAGGTGTTGGTCATGGTAACCAAGTAAACGGCATGATAGCCTCAGGTGACCACTTATACACCTGTGGTATTGATGACACTTTAAAAATCATCAACAAAGAATCCAATTCTTACACAAATATTAATGTTAAATTGAAATCCCAACCCAGAGGCATTGCCCAGTTAGAAGACTCCATTATCGCAGCAAGTGTAAAAGACATTACAATCGTCCAGAACAACTCTGTTGTTTACAGTTTGGATGTCAATTTTGAACCCACTTGCATTGCGGCAAATAAAGAAACAAAAGAAGTTGCCGTGGGTGGAAGTTCTGATTTTAAAGTACATGTCTATTCTTTGTCAGGAAAAAGTTTGACACCGCAAGTTGAATTGGATCATTTAGGGGCTGTGACTGATGTGGCTTATTCTCCGGATTTGAAGTATCTGGTGGCAAGCGATGCTAACAGAAAAGTTATTTTATACAGTCTTCCAGAATATAAGGTAATAAAATTATCTGTCATATAATATTAAATTTTATGGTTTATTAATATAATATTGATATTTTTTGCTTGCATTTTGGAATATACAGTCAGTAAGTATGGAAAAAATATTGAAAATAGGAAGTTGTAAAAATTTATCTTGTTTCTTCAAGATAAACTTTACATTTATGTTATATTTATGATGATTTGAGTGGAGAAATCCAAATCTATAATTTTCAATAAGATTATTATAACTAAAATTATTTGAGTTCAGAATTTTCAATATTTCTTGCAAAAAGTGCATCATTTTGAAACGATTTAAAACAAAATGCATTATTTTAAAACAATATACAACCTTTTCAGAGACAAATTACATTTTCATATAATTTACAACATTTTCAGATGAATTACAGCATTTTTGATCTTATAATCTTAGATAAATTTAAAACATTTTCAGACAAATTTAAAACAGTTTTTAGACAAATTTAAAACAATTTTTAGACAAATTTAAAACAATTTTTGGACAAATTTAAAACAATTTTTAGACAAATTTAAAACAATTTTTAGACAAATTAAAAAAAATCAAACAAATTCAAAGCAATTTTCAGACAAATTTAAAACATTTTTAAATAAACTTAAAACATAATTGAACCAAATTACAAAACATCAAAATAATTTATAACATTTTGAAACAATATTCAATGATTTAAAATAAGATACAGCATTCTCAGACTATATTTTAAGAAAAAAATTAATTTGTCCCATATTAAAAGTTCACCTTCAAAAATATTTTTGTACTAATAATGAAAAAAAGGCAATGCACCTTCTTTAATTTTTGTAATTTGAAAATTTCATATGAAATTCAAAATCTAAAGTCGAACCATAAAGTTAATAACAATTCTCGTTTTGTCTAATTATAATTTATAATTTTCAGCTTGCTCACAACAAAGAATGGGGCTTCCACAATGCTCGTGTCAATTGTGTAGCATGGTCTCCAAATTCTCTGATGGTTGCCAGCGGCAGTTTGGACACAACTATTATTATCTGGTCTGTTACTCAGCCGAATAAGCATACAATAATGAAAAGTAAGTAAATATTTTGGATCTATAGAATATAGAAAATTTAAAACAAATAGTTCAGTCATTATAGTAAGTTTACCTCGGAATTCGAGATACCCAACTGTAAGTCTGTAAATACTTGTATATTGACACCCTAAAGTTATCTCAAAACCTACATATGGTAGGGTGTACGCAACATATGTAGGTTTTGAGACAACTTTTAGAGTGCAAAATACAAGTATTCACAAACTTACAGCTGGGTATCTTGAATTCTGAGATTCTTACCTAATTTAAGCTTAAATGACTGGACTAAAATATATAAATGACTTGGTAACTTCCCAAATAGAGAAAATTGCCAGAAGTCCGTTTTGCTAACTTTGTTTTCTGGAAGTTTCACGTCATTCTGAATCGAATGGGACCAAAATGGGAAAAAGTATGAACCGATTTTCGATCTTTTGTCGACGATTTCTCAAAAACGGCTGGACCTATTTCAAAAATGTAAAAGCCATTTGATAAAACTTGATAAGGAATCTTTAAAATTTGCAAAAAGTGCAACATTTTTTGTCTACGTTTGCATAATATATTCCAAACCGATTTCGGAAATTCGTAAACTATTGCAAAGGTATAAGTGGAAAATTGTGCTGATTAATTTTTGGTAAAGAAAGGCCAGGTCAGGCAAGGTAATTAACTGTTAGAATATTTTTTAGAGATTTTTATGAAACATGTACGTTCTTTGGTTTTTCGTATGCAGCTGCTGATTGCAGTTGACATCTACAATTAATAAAATACATTTTTTGAACCCAAAATAGATGAAAAAAAATGTGTTAAACAACTTAATTTAATTTATACTATTACAGATATCAAAAGTATGTTTGAAAGACATCATTCGGAAATCGTATTAATTATTCTTTAGTGAAAGCGGAAATTTTATTTTTGAAATAAATGTTGAACATGTTATTTAATTAACTGATTTTCAATTATTTTTGATTAAGTTGATTATGTATACGTCTTGGGAAGTTAATGCAACTTGCCTTTAGGCAAAATGCCACTTACAACTAGCCCGATATTATGTTATGTATATTTTTAACTTCCCGTAGGGTAAGTTATAGTAATCGTCCAAAAATCGGAATTGAAAATTTTTACATTTCTCGACGTTTTGAAGGTTTCTGAACATTTTGGCATACTTCAGAAAAAATGGATGTGTGTGTGTGTGTGGTGTGTGTGTGTGTGTGTGTGTGTGTGTGTTTTGTATGTCCGCGTTTTTTCGTCCACGTTTTCGGGCGCACGGATCAACCGATTTGAATGGATTAAAAAACATTCGATTCCTATTGATAGGGAGATGTGCTGATTAGTTTTTGGCAAAGGCAGGTCCAGCCGTTACGGAGATATGGAGCAAAGAGTGCAAAAAATAGAAAGCGAGTTTTTAAGAGAACGGATCAACCGATTTGAATGGTTTAAAAAACATTCGATTCCTATTGATAGGGAGATGTGCTGATTAGTTTTTTGGCAAAGGTAGGCCCAGAGGTTTCGGAGATACAGAGCTAAATTTAAAAAAAATGGCTGTTTTTGAGAGAACTAAGCGTCCGATTTAAATGATTCAAAGAACTTTCTGCTTTTTTCAACAAAATAATTGATTTTGGAAAAAAAAAATTTTTGTTTCTAATTTTTTTTTCAAAAAATTTTTTTTGTAATTTTCGATTAAAAATTCAAAAAATCACCCAAGCTAAGAACAGTCTAAGCGCCACTCTGGTACAAATGTTTACCCAAGTGCGTTTAGACTGTTTGTGTACAGGAGCACTTTTCCAATTTTGTGAAAATTATTGAAAAATGTGAAAATGCCGCCAAGCTGAGCACAGTATAAGTGAAAATGTCGCACAGAATTATTTGCAAATGCGTTTAGACTGTGACTATGCGGGAGCACTTTTTCAATTTTGTGTAAATTTGGCAACTATTTTTTTTTTTGAATTTGATTCGAAATGAAATGACGATTGTTAATGTTCTGGAGATGATAAATTGATTTATTTATAATTAATTTTCCATAGGGTAAGTAATCGCAAAAAAATCGAAAATGAAAATTTTTATATATCTTCACGTTTCAGAGGTTTCTGGATATGTTGGCATACCTTGGAGAAAATTGATGTATGTGTGTTTGTGTGTGCGTGCATGTGTGTGTGTTCGGATACAAATTTTCGTCGACGATTTCGGGAACACGGATAAAGCAATTTGAATAATTCAAAAAACATTCTAGCCGTTCCAGAGATACGGGGCAAAAAGTGCCAAAAATGGTAACTCAGTTTTTAAGAGAACGGAACGTCCGATTTGTATAGTTCAAAAAACATTTTACTTGTATTAACAAGATGAAGATTTGATCAAATTTTCATGAAGATAGGTCTAGCGGTTTCGGAGATCTAGTAAAAAAAACTAAAAAAAATAACATTTGGCGGTCAACAATAATCATTAGACATTAGACATATGCATATCAAATTATCAGATATTTTATTGAGATTTTAACAATAAGTATAAGTTTTGTTCACATTCCTATGGGTTCCGTACTATTGTTTTTCCGTTAGACAGCGACGCGGCGCTTACGCGCTTCTATATTTCGTCTCTATGCAGTTAAAGCAGTACGATTGCTTTGAAAAAAAGTTCAGATCTTCCAAAATATATCAAAATGAAGATAACATTTTTTCCAAAAAAAAATTTTTATAAAAAAAATTATTTAAAAATTTTTTAAAAAAAATTTTTTTTTTTCAAAAAAAAGTAATTTTTTGTCCGATTTAAAATTTCTAAAAAATCTTATTTTTTTGAAGTGAAATTTTTTCAAAAATGTTAATCGTTTTTAAAAAAATAATAATTTTTGGCACGGGAAGTTCCAGCAATTTGCCTTAAGGCACGATGCCTTAATTGCCTTAAGACAGAATTCCACTTACAGCTAGTTAGTTCTCTTGATATGAGTTGGTAGTCACGAAATTGCAACGAAAAAGCTACGTTTATGGCGTTCATTTGAGCGCTAAACTGCTAATACATAACCTCCAAATAACACAAATGTCAAAACAACATTTGTTTGGCTTATTGCATGTGTTATTCATAAGCAATCATATATATCCTAAATACATTATATATGAATACATCATATTCTAATATTGGTTCATAATGTGCAACGCTTTTTTTATTTCAAAGAATTGTAACTTTGCCATTAGATTTGAAACTGGAAATTTTCCAATAATATATATTGATTGATATACATATATATTTATCTACATATTCATTTATTGTATATGATTTTGTAAACTTGCATTTGGCAAATACCACATTAAATTTCTTCTTAATATTCTGAGGTTATATTTATTTAAAATGAAATATAAATCGAGGGCTGCTAAGTCAATGGCTATCAAGCGACTTGCAGACTCTATATTATCATCAAAGAGATCTAAAGTTGCTAAACTCGAAGCTTCAAGTGATCAGCTTGCTTCTTGTGTATCCGACCTATCCAAATCAGTTTGTAATAAAGCAGTTTTGGAAATTAATTCATTGAAAAGTGGTACAATTGATAACGTAGTTAATGAACGCAGTGATGATTCAAGTGATGAGTCTGTTTCCCGTGTATCCAACACCAAAACACTTTCTAAAAAAGCAGATTTAGATAAGAATTCACTCAAAAGTACTAAAACCAACAAGAAAGTTCTTGAAAGCAGTGATGATTCAAGTGATGAGTCTGTTTCCCGTGTATCCAACACCAAAACACTTTCTAAAAAAGCGGAATTAGAAAAGAATTTACCGAAGAGTGCTACAATAGACAAGAAAGTAATAATTGAAAGCAGTGAAGATTCAAGTGATGAGTCTGTTGTCCACGTATCCAATATTAAACTTTCTAAAAAGGCAGATCTAGAAAAGAATGTACTGAAAAGTGCTGCAATCATCAAGAAAGTAATTAATGAAAGCTGTTGTGTTCTAATGGATAACTTTGTTTCCCGTGTAAATGCAATCACAACAGACCTTGAAAAAGAAGCAGATTTAGAAAAGAATTTACCGAAAAGTACTACAGTAAACAAGAAAGTAATGATTGAAAGCAGTGAAGATTCGAGTGATGAGCTTCTTTCTTGTATATCAAACAATAAAACAGTTAATAAAGCAAATTTAGAAAACAGTATACAGAAAACTGCTATCATCAGCAAGAAAGTAATTAATGAAAGCAGTGAAGATACAAGTGATGAGCCTCTTTCTCGTGTAAGCAACATCAAAACACTTCCTAAAAAAGCGGATTTAGAGAATTTACCGAAAAGTGCTACAATTAACAAGAAAGTAATTATTGAAAGCAGTGAAGATACAAGTGATGAAAGCAGCGAAGATTCAAGTGATGAGCCTCTTTCTCGTGTATCTAACATCAAAACACTTCCTAAAAAAGCAGATTTAGAGAAGAATTTACCGAAGAGTGCTACAATTAACAAGAAAGTAATTAATGAAAGCAGTGAAGATTCAAGTGATGAGCCTCTTTCTCGTCTATGCAACATCAAAACACTTCCTAAAAAAGCAGATTTAGAGAAGAATTTACCGAAAAGGGCTACAATTAACAAGAAAGTAATTATTAAAAGCAGTGAAGATACAAGTGATGAAAGCAGCGAAGATTCATGTGATACGCCTCTTTCTCGTCTATGCAACATCAAAACACTTCCTAAAAAAGCAGATTTAGAGAAGAATTTACCGAAGAGTGCTACAATTAACAAGAAAGTAATTAATGAAAGCAGTGAAGATTCAAGTGATGAGCCTCTTTCTCGTCTATGCAACATCAAAACACTTCCTAAAAAAGCAGATTTAGAGAAGAATTTACCGAAAAGGGCTACAATTAACAAGAAAGTAATTATTGAAAGCAGTGAAGATACAAGTGATAAAAGCAGCGAAGATTCATGTGATAAGCCTCTTTCTTGTCTATGCAACATCAAAACACTTCCTAAAAAAGCGGATTTAGAGAAGAATTTACCGAAAAGTGCTACAATTAACAAGAAAGTAGTTATTGAAAGCAGCGAAGA